CAAGCCACTCCCACAAAGGAGGCCACACCCACAGAGTAGGTTCAAACAATTTTTGAAACCCACCACTGATGATACTATATGTATTTTTGAATCATCCTTAAGTTGAAATACTTGAATGGTAGTCATACAATGTCCCTGCGGTCTTCATTCCACATTTAATGCATCATGAAGTCACACTAATGTCCAAGCATAATGCTGACACTACATACATTTACCTGATACGAGTATAAACTATTCCTGGACATACATCTTTATTTGAGTTCTTTTTTGAAGCTTTTTTATGTCTGAATATGTTGCCAAGACTGCCTTTCCTATTAAATGCATAAAGTAGGTTCACTGCAGTGGTGGGATTCAGCCAGTTCGCACCTATTCAGTAGAACCGGTTGGTAACTTTCTAAGCAGTTCGGAGAAATCTTTTGTTTTTTCCCCACTTTACAGGGCTAATCCTGTAAGGAAGGCAGGAAGGAAACATCCTGGTGTTGTTTCTAGCCTAATCTTTATTGCCCTGCTTACAGAAACTGCCTCTACTCAGCTGGTCATTAGAGCAAAGAACTGGATGGTAAATTATTTGAATCCCACCACTGGTTCACTGATAGTATAAGTTAAAGAGACAGAGAATCTAAGTCTCTGATTTTGTGTTGTGGTTCAGAGAAGTTCCTTCTGCTTGACTGCTGAGAAACCAGTCCCATTTTGTGGCCTTATCCCTTGGTTTTTCTCATGAGAGTTTTTTAATTTTAAAAATTGGTCTTGTGGTGGGTTTCATCGCCATTCTGCTAATCCCCCTTTTCCTTTAGTTCGTGTCATTTCAGTGATACGTTTAGCTTCTCTGGGAGCTTTGATGGATGGGTAGAAACCCTTTAAACAGATAAGCAACTTCGGTTCTGGCAGTGTCTGAATAAACCTCTTAAAACCCACTTGAGAGGATAGAAAGTTTGCCTTAACCAAACAAGCCGCTCTCTACCAGGATAACAACATAATCATCAGAAGTATTTTTATCCCCTTCTTCAACTGGAGAAAACTCCTAGAGCAGCTTACAAAAATCAATAACAGGGGAGTGTGCTGACTGAAGAGCTTTCACACATATTAACTGTAAATCCTAAGGAGCTATAGAAAAATAAAAGCTGGAGGGTTAGACACAAAAGCCGCTTTACTTTGAAATGGACAATTTATAATTGTTTGCTGGTAAAACATTGTATGCTTCAGTCTTGATTCAAGATTCTTCAACCTTACTATGTTCAGGAGGGCTAATAGCTTCAAAAAGTTTGAATTAAGACTTAAAAATAAAACTGCTTGGCAAAAAAATCAGGGCATGAAAAGGCTACCTACAATTTCCAACAGATTGTATATTGTCTACTTCTACAGTTTTGACAGCACTTCATCTGCAGACTTAGCAATAGCAATAGCAGTTAGACTTATATACCGCTTCATAGGGCTTTCAGCCCTCTCTAAGCGGTTTACAGAGTCAGCATATCGCCCTCACAGTCTGGGTCCTCATTTCACCCACCTCGGAAGGATGGAAGGCTGAGTCAACCTTGAGCCGGTGAGATTTGAACCGCTGAACTGCAGATAGCAGTCAGCTGAAGTGGCCTGCAGTACTGCACCCTAACCACTGCGCTACCTCTATCTACTAGGCAATACAACTTAAATCTTTCCATTTGAACTAATGTTTCTGGTGACATTTTGTCTATAATTGATCTTGGCAGAAAGATGGGCTGCATTTAATCCATGAATAGTTCATCCTTGTCTGCTGTACATGTGGAAATGGGCTAACTAGGTCAAAAAGGATTTATTTTAATTTTTAGCTGAGTGCAACATTTGCCTTCCTTGCAGGTGTCCCATAAATGGGCTGACCATCATCAGTTGGCAGTTCTGAAAATCTTAAAACGTTTTGCATTTTTAGTAGGCTTGGATGGGTTTCCGAATGGAAATGGATGTACTATCATTTACAGAACTTTAACATATTTATTTCTATATTTATTTCACTACAACTTTTTTTTTCCTAAACGCTTACTGTGGGTGGTGTTATCCAAAATGGATGTAACTGAGCACTGTAAGAGCTTGCCTTTTAAGTCTATAAAACATCAATAAGATGAGAACTATTCACTTATGCTTATTGTTTGCAGAATACCACTTGGCAGGCCTGTTCAGGATTTACCTGGGCCTTTATAAAGAAGGATGCCTGGATGATTTTGTTAGTCTCTCGGCAGATAAAGTTAATGGGATGAGCGAAACAGGGTCTAATGTTATTATCTGGATCCGTTTGAGCTTCCCGAGCCAAAGATAATAGATAAAATTGTCCGTGATATGAGTTATGCCACTTGTAGGCTTGACTATCTCTCCTTGGTCCCATCTGTCAGTTGGGGTGGAGAAGGGTAAGCAGCTGGATCTGGGAGATGCGTGACCCGTCAAAACCGCGGTAGACAAAACCGCGCTCGATGAAAGCGCGTACCTGACGTCATCAGCAGCGCGACGAAAAAAATTAAAAATAAATTAAATTGAAATTAAAATTAAATTAAAGCAAGCCGATTCACATAAAGGTAAGGGTTAGCGTTAGGGTTAGGGTTAGGTTTAGGGTTACGTTAAGCGTTAGGGTTAGGTTTAGCGTTAGGTTAAGGGTTAGTGTTAGGTTTAGCGTTAGGTTAAGGGTTAGGTTTAGGGTTAGGTTAAGGGTTAGGTTTGGGGGGGTTAGGGTAAGGTTTTCGCTTTAATTTTAAATTTACCGCTCACAGCGCAATGTTTTTGTCGCGCTGTGATGACGTCATGTACGCGCTTTCGTCGAGCGCGCTTTTGTCTACCGCGGTTTTGTGGTGGAACCGGGAGATGTTCAGTGCTTTTTTTTTTTTTTTTAAAAAGTGGGTGGGTGTCATGCCATCTATTTTAAAAGAGGTATTTGTGCCCCTTTCTCCATTGAAGACATGCTCCTTTGACCCAACTGGTTTTGATACATCTTAACAATGGTTTTTGAAAAGGTGGTAGACCAAGGCTCATCAACTGTGATGGAAAACCTAGATGGAAAAACTAGGGGAGCCAGAGCTGTTTCCGAAAAGATTCTTGAATCCAAGGGAGGGGGGGGATTTAAGAGAGTGATTCCACCTTAATTATAGTAGGTATACTGTATGTTGTGTGGGAGAATTACTTTTCCTAAGCTTTCAGATTTCATTTTACATTACCCTACTGGACAATAAAGAACTTTTGAGAAAGTGTTTCCTTAGGTTGCCAATCTCACAGGGTCCAACAATTACAGACAATTCTAGAAAATATTTGTGTATCTAGGTTCCTGCCAGTCAAGATTCAGACCCAGTGATGAAATGTCCATCTGGACCTTGATCCAAGGTCTTCTGGTTCTATTAGACCGCTCGGCAACATTTGAAACCATCAAGCTTACTATCTTCCTAGACAGTCTACAGGGGCTGGGAATCATGGTCCTGTATCTCTGTTCTATGTGAGTAGGTAGTTGTGGTCTGTAATCAGGGTAGGAAGAATAGTATTTAAGGCCATGAATGTTTCAATAAAGAGTACTATAGGCTTCAATTCCTTCCCCCCATGTCACTTAACATCTATATCATGTTGCTTAACATACACATGAACCTGTTGGGATAAATCATTTGGAGATTTGGGGGTGATGTCACCATTATATGGATATTACATAAGCTCAAGTCAGACAGTTGTTGATGGACTACAAAGATTCATTATTGCATAGTGGTGGTTAGACACTAAATCGCCATGTTTAAGTATGCCTGTCTGGCAAGAACATAAGTATAAAAAAATCCAACTCTGAATACCTATTCTACTTAAGCTGTGGGCAACAGCTGTTGCAGTCAATGTATGGACCTCCTTGCTTCCAGATGTTCAGGTAGCCCCTTCCTTTTTGGCATTGTGTAAAACTGTTAAAACAGCACTGTTGTACCCCCGCTCTTATGCAGGGTTAAAATTTTCTGGTTGCCATTTGCATGATTTGTGTCAATTGTCTGTTCCGTTTGCTTTTGTTTTTATTTGATATTTTTGTCGATTCTATACCGCCAAGAGATTAGATGTTGCGGCGGGTTGTGAAAAATAAAAGTAGAAAAATCTCACGGTGCAACGAAGTGAGTGTTATTTTGAATTTCAGTTATATTATCCAGGGGTGCGTTGCGGACTTTACACTGATTGCAGTAACCCTTAATCTAGAGAAGGCTGAAAACAAGTTTTCTTTTTATTGGATGGATGGATGGATAGATAGGTAGATATTTCCTATTTACTATGTCTGTATTACTATTAATCTTCTCATCGTTCCTATCACCCATCTTTTCCCACTTATGCCTGTATGGCTGTAACTTTGTTGCTTGTATCCTTACGATTTATATTGTTTCCTAGTATGATTTGATTGGTTAATTGTACTGTATGACTATCATTAAGTGTTGTACCTTATTATTCGTGATGAATGTATCTTTTCTTTTATATACACTGAGAGCATATGCCCCAAAGACAAGTTCCTTGTGTGTCCAATCACAATTGGCCAGTGAAGAATTCTATTCTATATTTAAATACTATTGGTATTATATAGTTGTTTAATTTTCATACATTTCTCTTAGGTCCACGATGGGCTTCCTGGAATACAGGTGTCTTTATTTGCATCAGATGCGCTGGAATACATCGAAATCTGGGAGTGCATATATCCAGAGTCAAGTCTGTCAATTTGGACCAATGGACACCAGAACAAATACAGGTTAAAAAGTTTCATTCAAGTTATATTAAGAGAGACTTTGGGAGAGTTTGTTTCAAAATATATGTTAATTAATAAAATGAACTCATTTAAAAGATTTTTAAAAATAACAAAAATCCCAACAGATTTTTTTCTAAATAGTAATATAATTATTTATTGACTGCACTTTTATGTGGGAACTGCATCTTGCAACAGGTTATTGTAAGTGTTCAAGTTGGAATTTTTCTTTCTAATCTTAGTAGCATCTTGTACATACCAAGAATATTAGCAAAAGTTGTGCAAACGGTTCTGACTCACAATGGGTTGTTCAGTCCTTATTTTAGTCAATTCCAGGTATTCCAGAAATTTTCTTTCTATTGGTCTGTTTCAAGTATTCTGGCAGATGAGAATAGCACATTCTTAATTTGATCACCATATTTTTCGGAGTATAAGACGCACTGGAGTATAAGACGCACCAAGGTTTTGAAGAGGCAAATTTTTAAAAAAGTAGGTAAGTACATAGAGGGACAGAGAGGGAGAGAAAGAAAGAGAAATATAGTAGGTAGGGAGGGAGGGAGAGAGAGAAAGAGAGAGAGTGGGTAGGTAGGTAGGTAGGTAGGTAGGTAGGTAGGTAGGTAGGTAAAGGGATAGAGAGAGAAGTAGAGAGAGAGAAATACAGTAGGTAGTTAGGGAGAGAAAGTGTGTAGGTAGTAAGGTAGAGGGATAGAGAGAGAGAAATAGAGATGATAGATAGATAGATGATAGATAGATAGATAGATAGATAGATAGATAGATAGATAGATAGATAGATAGATAGATAGATAGATAGATAGATCAGTGTTTTTCAACCACTGTGCCGCGGCACACTAGTGTGCCGTGACATAGTGT